TTTTCGATTTTAATTGGCTGAACAAATATGCATGATCGGGATCATCATTTCCTTATTTGGGACGTTCCTACCTGTACCCGAAAATTATTTATAAATCTCAAACCCGGCCCGAAAAAAAAAAGCCCGTAAAGATAAATCGAGCCGGGCTTGTTTAAAACTATGCCCGACCCGGCCTGGCCCGCAAATTTATATAACAGCTGTTTTTATTTTTGATTACACATGTTACATCATTAATTACCTAATTAAGTTCGGTCGATGGTCGTGATTGAACCACGTGACCAAGAAACCTTCAAACGATACCAAACAATAAGGTTACTTTCTTTTTAACTTAGGCATTTTTCACTGTAACATTAATCTTCAAGAAATAGCTCTGATTATAATTTGACTTTAATGACCGGGGTAAAGTCACCACTCAAAAAAGTTTCGAAAATCATGTGAAATTGTCAATTCATAATGATTAGATTATGAAAATAATATTTATTAAAATATTAACATAATTGATTTAATAAGTGATTTTTTTTCTTTGATTCTTTAAAGTGAAAAGTGGTTGTTAAAAGCATAAAATCTAATAAACACATTATTCTAAAAGTATACGTTGATTGCCGTAACCAAATTTTTATTAACAATAAACGAAAAAAGAAAGAAAATCGAAATAAAATTATAAAAATTAATCAAGAAAATGCAATTGAACCAGAAAATCTTGATTTTATTTTTAATGCTCTTCCATAAGATTATAACTCTTGATTATTTATTTTTTAAAGGCAATGGAATATTCCAAATACTTAGAAAAAATGTAATTACAATACTTTCTGGCTGTAATAAATATTATATTTTTGAGTTATTTAAAATAAATAAAATGATTAATTTGTTACTTATTGTTATTACTTTGTTAATTGAAACTTTTTTATGTTGTTAACAAGTTATATGAATTTTGGGTGGCGATTTTATTCTGATCGATTTTAATCAATACTGAAGTACTGCAAGTGCCGGCATTTTTCTATTAAAACAGTACCAGACATAGGTATAGATACTGTTTTAATAGCACATGTGCTAGCACTTACCGAACTCTATTTTGAATCTATAGCCAAATCAAAAGAAAAATAATTATAAATATTTGAAGTAGAAAAAAATAGACATTTAATAAGAATTAGGCAACCTTTGAATTTCAGATTTAATTAGCTAATTTATTTAATGGGTATCCATAAGCTATATTAAATTTAGTATATTGTACTAAATTTAGTATAGTATTAAAATGATGATAAAATAATAAGAATTATCCATAATTGTATAAAACTTTTACAAAACATAGTTAAGTACATGTAGTTTATTATGATACTAAATTTATAATCATATATCTTTACAAATTAGATATAAGCAAGCTTTTTTAGAAGGTATTGTTACATTTGATCATTTTTACTAATCAAATTTTAATTATATTTTCCAAAGAATCCTGCTTATATCCAACCAAAAAAAAATAATTTACTCTATGCTTAGATTATAAATTTATTTGTTTAATATATTTAAGAAGTCTTATCTTCAAAATTTATAAGATTTTGGTTAATTTACGGGCTACATAGTATATTACATAATCATGATCAATGACCGATTTAGAATAATCTAATCCATAGATTAGTAATATATATATAATGTCAAAGTATTAATTTAAAAAAAAATAGATGGTCAAGACTTGTCTTGTAAAAAAAAAAAAGCAATAAATAGAGTTATTCGCTTCTTTTTTTTTAGCATATACAAATACACAACATATATATATATATACTTTGTATATACAGTAACTCTTAGTTTTTTTTTAAATATAACTTTATCTTGTATAAAGATATAAGGTGGGACTGGTATAAGCACCAGCGTATAAGAAGCAAAGTAGAAAGATATAAGTGAATTAGTAATACAGTCAGACCTCTCTAAATGCACGTCGTTGGGACCAGCTCTAGCACGTACATTTAGAGAGGTGTTGCATTTAGGGAGGTAAAAATCTATATATGTAATATTAGTTGGGCCCAAAAGAAGACGTGCATTTAGAGAGGTGTTGCATTTAGAGGGGGCGCATTTAGGGGGGTCTGACTGTATAAGAAACTTAAATATTCAAAAAAAAAATACTGACCATACAAAATGCTAAAAATATTAAGTAAAATAACTGTTGGAGGACAGATTAGTTTTAAGGCATTAGCAGAATCAAAAAACTCTTTCCGCTAATCCTTTGAACACAAATTCGACATAAACAAAAAATCAACAAAACACATATTTTGTTAAAGAAAACACAGTTCGCAGTACTAAGTAAAAAGAAAGAATATACAAAATAACATCTAGTCTCTTAAAAGATGAAGATAAAAATGTTAAGACTTTGAACGAAAAAGAAGAAAAATAGAAAAGAACTGACAAAATTTCGCCCTTTGCAAGCAATTTTTGGGAAATTGCACTTAACCCTGTACTGCAGATCTGTTGTTGCTAAACAAATAAAACACACATCGAGAAGTAAACAAAATAATCTAATTGTGGATTACATGACAGATATAAACAGAGAAACGGCACCTAGGAATTCAGGTACTAAAGAAAAAGAAGATTCTAGAAAACAAAACAAAACAGCGGAGATATTGAATGAATCAATAAAAGATTATTTAGAAGAACTGAAGCTTTATAATGACTGGATAGTCGACCTTAGGAAAAAAAGAGAAAAGCAACAAGCACTTCACAGAAGAGATATAGAAGCAAACTTAATTCAACAACTTGAACAAGAAAATTTACTCTTTCTAACACAAAACAATAGAAAAGAAGATAAAGAAAATTTAAAATTTTCGACAAATACAGAGATGTCTAATATGCAGATAGAAGATTATATGGAAAAATTAGAGCAAGATAAAATATGGATCCAAACTCTTAGACACGAAAGTTTAGAGCAAAGAATGTAACAAAGAAAGAAAAGAATAGAAGATTCTTTTCAACAAATTGAAGAATTATATATATATATTGTGGAATCAAACCAAGAAGAGAAGAGAAATATTGAAGTGATGATCCCTAAAGAAGAAAAGAAAAGAGTTTATAATGAAAATGAAGTGAAGAATTCTATAGACAAAGAAAAAGCTTTATCTAATGATTATTTAAAAGAATATCTGGAGGAATTATACCGATACAAGAAGTGGATAACAGGTCTTAAAGAAAAAAGAGTGAAACAAGAAGAAGCTCAAAGAAGAGAAATAAGAAAAAATCTGAAGTATCTTTATAAAGAATCAAGAAGCTACCTTCAACTTCAAGACATATTAGAGAAAAGAATTATAGATAGTAAAGAGAAAGAAGCTAATCAAACAGAAAATAATTTGAAGATATTACAGAAGAAACTTCTAGAGAAAATTTTAGTGAGTTCAGGAGAACTCCTAATTCAAGTGAGAAGAAGTAAGAAGACTAGAACAAACTAGAAAAGCAGAAAGAAAAAAGTAAAAAAGAAAACTCTATTACAAAGTAGAGAATTATTAGTAATTAATGAAGAAGATAAAGAGGAAAAAAAGATAAGCATTGAAAAAATAAGAGTCAAGTTACTTGCGGATAAACATAGAGTAAAATGGAAAAAGAAAAAGAAGAATATTAGCTTAAAAATAGATAGTATAGTATTTTTACAAAAGAAAGGTATTTTAGATAACCAAATAGAATTAGGATTAGATAAATTAAAATTAGATAATAGCATAGCAGAAGGGTATTTAGATAAACTTGACTCAACAAAATTAAATCAAGACCTCTTTGAGGTTCACAAAGCTTCCAAGACAACTTGGTAAAAGCCTTCTAAGCGAAGAATATAAACCTCTATCTAGTGCGGCAGACTACTTTTGGGCATCTATAGAGACAGCTGAGAGATGTCGAGTCTAGATATTAAGCTCAACATTATGTAACTAGTTTTATATAATAATCTTAATAAAGGATCACTGGCAAGATTGCTAAAGGGAAAAAAAAAAAAAAAAAGTTTTAAGGCATTAGTATTGTCAAGTAAGATAGTATCACAATATTTACAAAATTGCCATAGTAACTGAAAGAATCAACATTTTTATAGTATAATTATTGGGGAGTTAAATGAAGGTGAACACTTAAAATATAGGATTGATGTGGAACAACTTGAAAATGTGACTGTTGATGTTTTTGCAAGTAATCTGTGATATGAAAAATAAAATGTTTTAGTTAGTGAAGGAACACTATCAAATGATGAATTGCCAATAGTTTCTTTAGAACATTCTAATAATGGTGAAAGTAGTTCAGATAATGATCATAATGATAGCGCAGAAGAAAATGATAATATAATTGAAACAATTGATCTTTCTGCTGCGGAAGACTGAAAGAAACAATCTATAACTATTGGTCAGCGTAAAGTTAACCCTTCATATAATTAGAAGTGTAGTATCAATATTGAATTTATTAGACTAGCTTCGCTACTTAAGTTGCTGTGTTGATATCTTCCACTTAATTATATTAAGCAGTATGTAATTAATTCTATTAATGTATATGGAAGGAAATATTCTAATTGGGTTGATGTGAATTATAGTAAATATATGCGGTGGTTAGGTTTATAGGTGCTAATGTCTGTTTTTCCTGTAGCTGATCAATGTTTTTATTGAAGAGCAAATGAAGAGCTTACAAAACCTCTGGTATCTTTTAATTTTTAATGTTAAATGTCTTTTTCACAATTTGAATAAATAGTTTTTTGTCATACTTTAATGATAGCATATAAATTAGAGGCTCCAAATCTTATTGATCTATTGTATTTTGTCTGAAGTTTTATTAATGCATTTAATAAAAATTTAATTGAGGCTATAAAACCCAGACCAACTTTGTGCATCGATGAATCAATGAATTCATAGTTAGAAAGTAAAAATAAAATCCTGGTCATCATAAAATACCCTGCAAGCTACATCTAGTAGGACAAGAATAGAAAATACTAGCAGATGAGTTTACAAATATTATTATTCAAGTAGAGCTTTGCAAAGATAAAGAAATTAAAAAAAAGTGTTTTGTTTTAGATAATGGCAGTACAACAGCATATGTTTTGCAATTAGCTTAATTATGGTTTGGTAGTAGCCAAACTATAATTAGAGATAGTTGGTTTGGGTCCCCAAAGCTTTGTATTACATTAATGCAAAATGGATTATATAATATCTTTCATGTTAAAAAAAGACGTAAATAGCCAAATAATTACCCCATGATATAATCAAAAGCTTGGAAGTACATATAGATCTTATTTTTCAAAAGTTACAAATATTGATAATGTTAACTTAATTGCAGCTTCTTTAAAAGATCAAAAACCACAGTGTGTTATTGCAACTGCATCAACTACAACAAAGGCTGATGAAGTTAAACATGTAATTAAAAAGCGTACTGGTTCTTTTATAATTAAATTTATAAGCCCAAAAATTTTTATAATTATTCTTGTTCGAAAGGTGCTGTTAATATTAATAATCAGGTTTATATTTTTTAATTATAGTAACATTGTTATAACACTATTATATTGTGTTACTTTTATAATATTTATATTATAATATAATAATTTTTATAGTAATACAAGTATAATATAAATTTAATACTTTATAATTTGTTTATTTATCAATTATGCTAATATAAAATTATTAATTATAGCTATGTGATAATATGACATCTTTTCATGATGTTATACATGGATTTAGTTGGGAAATGCATATATATACTTTTTTATTAGGAATTGCTGAAGCAAATGCATTTATAACATTTAAAAAATAGAATAAAGAAGGATATAATATTTCACATTTTGATTTTAGGCGATTATTAGCAGATGAAATAGTTAGAAAAATTTTTTCAGAAAATGAAATTTTGTTACCAAATACAAGATTTCAAAAAAGAAAAAAGAGATCTGATATAATGCATCAATTGCTAACTTTGCTAACAAAAAAAAATTCTAAAAATATTACAATTTATCTACAATTACATTGTATATATTGTAGTAAGAGAACAAAATATTATTGTATCTATAATACAGAAAAAGGAATATGTGCTAGCTGTTATAATCATCATCTTTTGGCAATTTAACTATTTTTTTTTTTTTTTTTTTTTTTTTTTTTTTTTATTAAGCGGCATCTTGCCTAGATGTCTTTATTAGTAAATAATGAATAGTTACATATTATTATACAGTAGTCTATTGATGAAAGTACAACTAGTCACACGTATAACTTTAGTCATTATCTAATTAAGGGTTCCGCCCGTAGGTTACCCACTAGATG